GTTAAATATGAAGTTTCAACCAGCAGGTTGTTAGCTTAGCACAAAAACTTAAGGGCAGGAGAAACAACTTGCTGGGTCTGTTTTAAGACCAATATCCACCTACCAGCACATATAAAGCTCACAACGCGTTATATCTTATCTGTTTAATCCATTTAAACGATATAAAACAAACCAAATGTTCTTGTGATTAGCCAATCCATTTTTTTTATGCAAAGCTAACTGGCTGCTTGGTGTAGCTTTAAATCTAGTAGTGGTGTCAATCGGATTATCTAATACCCTTTTCCCACCACACTCTACGGGTATAAGCAGGTTTTTTAAACCAAGTGGTAACCTCCGAGGCTGAAAAATGAAGCTAACGTGCAAGTACCAAAAACTGCAGTTCAACCACACAATTGAGGCTGGGTTCAAAAGCAAGTCAATCCCCATAGACTCCCATGTTAAAATGTCCAACTTTACAGCAGAAATAAACATGTTTTCAGACTGGTACAAAAAACGGGATTGGTCTCTATAACTAATTCCCTCCTTCACAACAACTGTGCGGGGGGGGATTGAATTTTTATACAACCCACGTTTACATTTTATTAAGGCTTAAAGTTATGGAGAATTGAGGTCGTGCCGCTTTAAGTGACAGGCGGGTGAGCGTGTGCCTGCCTCAAGCCGACATGCACCTAAATCTCGTCTCGACAGGCGCCTCTCCTCTTGGCCCATTTTTTGTAGTAGCCGGGCGTTTGGCGGAGTCAGGTACTAGCAAGATGGCGACGAGGCAACGACCCACTTTGCTCTTCAGAAACCTACGGCTGACGTCACGGAGACTACGTCCATTTTTATATACAATCTATGGTCCATCAATATTTACAGTCTATGGTCTCGACACGCGCCCCTCCTTTTCGCCCATTTTTGGATTAGCCGGGATTTTTGCGAAATTAGGTACTGCCAAGATGGCGACGAGGGAACGACCCACTCTGAGCTTCAAAACCGCTCTTCAGAAACCCATGGGTGACGTCACAGAGGCAACGTCCATCTTTGTTTACAGTCAATGTTTTAAACGTGGGTAAACCCGCTAATAACAGCCAATTGAGCCCTTCTCCACTGCCACTGAAGTTTGCCTTTCTGTTCGGACTGAGGACACGCAAGGAGCAAGGTGCATCCGTCATGGCCCAACCTATCCCAAGATTCACTGCGTAAAGAAAACAACATGGCAGCAAATGACGCCGACAGAGAGCCATGCAGAGAGCCCGGGGATTACTCTTTGAGATGTAAGTATTGGGTTTCAGCTCAGCTATTGGGGTTTAGTCACTCTGACGTAGTGCAGGTGGTTGTATTGGAAATTACGTGAGGTCGCCAAACTCAGTGTACTAATAAGAATGAAAGGTGCAAGTCGCCTTGCCATGTTTCTACAGGTAAACTAACAGTAGCGTGAGGGAAACGTCAGTCAAACTGGCCTCACTCACATCACTAATCAGACATAAGTAAAAACACCTGTGGGGGTGTGTAAGGACTTTAATGAAGGTGGAGGCACCTCAGAGTATTATCATACATATTAAATAAGATGTTTAATTCATTATCATCCTTTCTGAAGTTTCTTTAATGTCTCAGTAACCCCAGGTTAGGTTGTTAACTTGTTATGTGCCAGTTTTTTCATTGCTTTGTTTGTCATTGACTCTTGTCTGTTTTGTTTCATATTGTCTGCCAAACACTAATAATTATACTTTTGATTCAACTTGTTTTTCATCATAATTTATTACAACACAAATATTAACTTAGTTTGTTTTGTTAATTTATTACCACGACATGTTAATTATGCAAATAAACAAATACTTTTCCATGGCTGTAGCATAAAGGAAAGAAAATGTAAAATTCATCCCAAAATTCCCAGCATTACTTTCTCAGCCCATAAAATTTATTTTTTATTGAACTCATATAATCTATATTGTTATGTTTTTCATTCATTAATGAAGGGTTTTGTCAAGATAGCTTCAATCCGTTTTTTTTTTTTTTTTCACAAATTCTCATTATTTTAATGTCGGACTCCACCAACTCTTTGATATCTGAAAACCATGAGTGGACCATCTTTATTATCTGAACACACACACACACACACACACACACACACTGATACTCCTATAGAAACAGACGGGTGTATAGTATGTAATGTTCGCGAGGACATGAGGCTGTTGTTGAGCTTGAAACTGAAACACAGGCTCACATGAGGAAGATACTGTGAAGTAAAACCATCAGGTATCTAAAAAAAATGTGAAGCAGCTCCAGGATCGAGCTTTGTGGGTAAAATGATCCCCTGAGACCGGTCAAGTGCGTATTTGTGTGTGTGACTGTGAGACAATGCCACTGAGACAGATGCATTAATAGATCTATGCATTATTTAGCATGTTTACTAACTGTATACCAAAGCCGTAGCGAATGCCCTCAGCAAGTGGTCTCTCACTGTCTGTTTTTTTTTTTTTCACAGAACCTGCTCCACTGATACCAATTATATTCTTCATCAAGCATTTAAAGTCATCCTATCTTCCAGATGTGTGTTGGATGCATTCGGATAGACACTCAGCTCACAGGAGACAACTTCTTGCTCGCCTACACCCTGAGGTGAGAGAGTAATCACGTACAACAGGTTGCCTCCAGGCTGCATTGAATCCAAGTCTCAAACACACACACACACACACACACACACACACACACACTAAGAGGAAATCACAAAAATGTAGACACTCTGGACAGAACCTCACAAACGCACACATTTTACGCACTTGCGCGCCTCCCACACCACATGGTTAATTAATTCTAATTTGAACGGCCGTGGCCTCACCTCCTACACTCATGCCTTCTGATGGTGCCTGGAGAAAACGTTACAGCATCTTCAGTGAGCGAGAAAGGCAGCAAGACTGAAGCAAAACCCATGAATGTGAAAGTAAGAAATGTCTGAGTGAGGTGACGTGATGGAGAGAGATAACGACGGCGTGTCGGAGTAACAGCTACAGGACTCGTGGCTCAAAGTTCGGCAGGCAGATTCGCGACTGGCGGCCAGAAGTGGTGGAATTAAATTTTGAGGATTTTCAATATCAGTAGTGTCAGTAAAAAGCATAAAAACAGACACAGCGGGACTAAGTTATGATATCTGATATTGTTATGTGACAAGGGCTCCAACCGTGTTCCTTTAACAGCAGCTCAGGAAGAAGATTTATGTCACTTCCTTTTACTACAGAGGTGTTCATACTGATATCAGACTGGCATCTGGGCAACTGTTGTCCACCACAATTTGTGCCGCTGTGCTTCAGCAACGATCTACAGTGAGTGGAAACTTTTAACGCCAAAGCAAGTAGCAGTATGACATTCATAGTGAGTCTTCAAGAGCCGTCTCCAGAAGTGGAAAGTAACACCAATGTTAACTCTTGTCTCTGTCACGTCTCTTCCTATACTGAAGTTAGCATGCTAACCAGCTAGCCCGGGCCCGTACGTAGCGCTGCTTATGTATGTTTATATTGTAGACACAAGTTAGAGAAATTACTTACTGTCAGTGTATGTTGATATTGTATACAGTATGGTCAAAAGTCTGAGACCACATTACCAGATTGGGAAGATAGACTTGGTTAAAATGAGAGAAATTAATAAGAAAAAATACATAATAGGCATATAGAATTTTTATGTCTGTTGTTAAAAATATATTGTTAACGTATATGGTTGCAACATGTGTAAACTTATACCTTCATATATATATATATACTGTAAATATAGGATATATGTATGTAATAATAACATATCCCCTTGTAGGTGACATATATGGCAACATTACTCTTGATATAGGAACATACATACAACATTTGTATATAATAGATTAATCAGTCCATTCAATAAAAATATTCAGTCTTATTCATTATTCATCGCACATTAATTCAGTCTGACACAGTTGGTTTCTCCACTAGAATTTAGAATAAAGTTCTGGGGGTGTGATCAAGTTTTGGCTGCACAGAGTGAGTTTGTAATGACTGGCCCACAACAGCATCTTCACACCGTCAGCCCTGTCACTCATTCATCTCGCCTGCTTAGACTACAGCAGTAAGAGGATGTCTGTATTCCTTCTCTGTGACTCCCCTGTGGACGTTGCCTTTAGTTAACAGCCTCGCTGAAGCTACATTTTGTTGTCCTCATTATCTCAGTGGGTAAAAAAAAAACAGCTCCGGCACCGTGATGAAGATCCTGATCCCGTTCATGCAACAGAAGGCTGTCGGCCTCATTAATAAAAGACATTAACTCACAACAGCTTATTGATGGCTATTGACCCAGGCTGACCGATTTGCTAGACCTGTGTGATCGATGAGCCGGGTTAATCCTGCGTGGTTGGGAGGGGGGGAGGGGGGGGGTGAGAGACAGGAGGAAGATGGTGGAGATGTCTCACTTCAAAATTCTCCTCTCTGCTTCTGCCCACTTTTTAAGTGTGAACATCCGCTGACATTTAATCCATGTGTGGGTGTGTAAGAAATACATACACCCACGCATGCCTGACCGCACTGCCACCCTCCCCATCACACGCACACACACACGCATCCTGTACATCCTCCTCATAACAGCAGCTCAAGTTAGGAGCGAGATTATTCTACAAGGATACTGATAAAAATGCACTTATTTCCAGCAAAAATAAAATACTCATCAATATATTCAAGTTATACTTTACCCAGTGTTTAAATGTTACATACAGCACATAGAGACATGAGACACGCTCTGTCACACACACAAAACGTAGTTAATGCACGTCAAGCAGGCAGCCGCTGATGTTGATTTTTATGATGAGCAAACACAATAAAACTGAAGCACACTGTTGAATTGTCGAGGTAGTAACAAATACACTCACATTAGTCTCTCAAACGCACAGAGGAATACACAGGATGTACACTGAGGCAACACACGCACATGCACGCACGTACGCACACACACACAGAGCGCGGGGAGTATAAAAGGGACATCCTTCCCAGTCAGCAGAGAAGTGCTCTCCTCACTCTCACACACTCCTCTAACACGCTGAACCTCTTTTCTCAAGGTAAGACAACCACTTTTTCTTTTTATTATTTGATCAAGGAGAGATTTTTGCATTTTATTAAGATGATTTTTATGGTGTAAAAATGTTTTCTTCTTCTTCGTGGAATTTAAATGAAAAGGACAATTTTCATAAACACATTGATGCAAATATGATCAATGTTTTGAGATCAATGAGAAAACGTTCTCGTTTTGTTTCCATTTTTTCATGATTTTTTTCAAACGTAAAATGAAGATTCATGTGAATACATCACGTTTGGTTTGTTTATTGATAAATTAGAAGCTTCAGATTAAAAATAATTTACTTGCTTTACTTTCTTTCCTTCTATTTCAAGAGTTTATTTCCACAGATGAGCAAAAAGGAGATGAGAAATTCTTTCTGCATTGCCAATAAGGTCAATGTGACCTGCTGTCAATTGTGCTCAGGATGTGAAGATCCAGCAGCTGCAGTGACAACGCTGATGTGTTCGCGTGCTGTGCCCCTTGGATGACAGTGTGAATACGCTGTTCTGATTCACGTGCCTTTTCAGTGCAGTCAGTGATTATTAACTGTGAGGGAGCAGTTTTCTGGCAGATGCTCTCAGTTGTAGTTTCTCAGTGTGGAAGACGACGATTGAGTCAGGAGACGGGAGAACTGCCTGCTGTAAACTCAGACCGGACTGGGTCTCAAATTCCTCCTTGTTAAACTTTCCCTGCCTCTCTTTTCTCGCTCTGTGTGTTTCAGATGACTGCAGGGCTCTGTGTGTGTGTCGTGCTGGCAGTCCTGTGTACGAGCTGTTTGGGACTCCCCTTCTCCTCTCAGCCCCTGGACGAGGGCCAGCGCTCCGTCTCCGCTCCCTCTGAAGGTACAGGCAAAAACAAGCCTGTAGCAAACAGGTGCATTAATATCACTGTGAGTTTTCATAGCTGACACCTGTTCTTGTGTGTGTGTGTGTGTGTGTGTGTGTGTGTGTGTGTGTGTGTGTGTGTGTGTGTTGAGTAGCTCTCCTTGATTCTGACATCCACACCTTGGGAGAACCCCAGCCCCGACACAGCCGCTCTGCCAGCCAGCTGAAAGCTCTCCCTCTGGCTGAGGATGATGCAGACTCCCGGGCCAACCTCAGTGAGCTGCTGGCAAGACTCATCTCCTCCAGGAAAGGTGTGTGTGTGTGTGTGTGTGTGTGTGTGTGTGTGTGTGGGGTGGTAGTGTTTCTGTGGATCTGTTTTAGTTTGCTTGTATTAGGGGGTCATCCTTGCTGTGCCTGCAAACTCTTGAAGGAGATGAGTGTGTGAGTATATAAAGACAACATCTTCATAAGCAACAATATTTACAACAAAGATTCATTTTACAGAGACAAGTGCTTTTCCCTGCTATTTTCCTCCTCCCCTCGGTCCAGCTAATGACTGGAATCAGTGCACAGGCAGCTTTGTAAAATGAATTAGTGGCTCTGAAAAGCTTTTGTGGTTTGAAAGAGCGTGTATTAGTGTTCGCAGCCTTCCGGCCATTCTCCTCATGCCATCTTGTTTCACTTTTTTCTCCCAAGTCGCTTGAATCTTCCTCTTTTTTTTTTCCCTCTCTCTCTCTTTGACACCGAGAAAACAAAACCTCAACCCTGCCAGAGCTGCTCATGTTCAGTGCTCTGATCTCTCTGGCCATGTGATAGGACGAGGAGAATATCTGGGCATTAGCTACACAACACACACACACACACACACGCACACACTGTCGGGACAAGCATTTTCTGCTTGGCTTCCCGCTACTGAAAGTGACTCCTTGTGTCTCCACATGCAGAAAAATTTGAACAGGCTGAGAAGTTTTCTGCGTCTTAAGTGAGCGATTTACAAATTTGATTGAGTCATTATCAGGATTCATTCACTGCCAGCAGGCTGGGAAAGTAGGTGAGATTATTTCTTGACACATCCGCACACAAATATGTATCAGAATTGTTTTTACATATTCAAGCTGTAGAGCTGATGTGTTTAAGGCTTTAGGAAGCAGAAAAATATAAAACAGAAACTGTTCAGAGAGCGAAGTGTATGCAGTGTCAAAGGTCACGCTGAAATGAATGTGTAATCCCTTAAGAAAAGTGTGCGTGTGTGTTTGCGTGTGCGTGCGTGTGTGTGTGTGTGTGTGTGGGGTGGTGTCTAGCTGTTCACTTGCATGTTTCAGTGTAGGAGGTGTCGTTGTCGAGCCTTCTGCAGCCAATCTTCTCAGCACACCAGGGAACTGACGTACTGTGTTTATGTGTGTGTGTGTGTGTGTGTGCGTGTGTGTGTGTGTGTGTGTTGCGTAGGAGGCTGTGGGTGGAGTGAAAACAGCATCTCTGTAAGCGTACAATTTATTACCAAACAGATAGCAGCAATCCTGCTTCTCTTCACTTGGAATAAAAAATCAGATAATAATAAATCAGAGAATCAAAGACGTTTTACACGACTGGAGGTCAGAGTGAGTGTGTGTGTGTGTGTGTGTGTGTGTGTGTGTGTGTGTGTGTGTGTGTGTGTGTGTGCGTGCATGCATGTGTGTGGTAAAATTACAGTACATTGATTGTTTCAGGAGAATCAACACACACATTTGTGCTTGCATACAGACATATACAGGCGTGGACACAAAGGAACAGAGGGTAATAGTATGTTGTCAGCCTAGAGTCCAGCTGTTGGACCATCCTCTTTGTTATGGTGTGTGTGTGTTTCTGTGTGTGTCTGTGTGGGGGATGTATGTAAGTGAGTGAGAGAGAGAGAGATAACGAGAAAGAGAGGGCAGATCCATTAGGGGGGCAATTAAAGTGCCACAAAACAAACCAGCTTCACGGCAAAAAAAAAAAAAAAAATCACAAAATCAAATCTAAACGGCAGAAATTTAAAAACTGAAAATCATCACAGCAAACATCATCCGTCATCAGCTGCGGAGAGTAAACTTTCTAATACAGCCAGCAGTTTTTCCTCTGGGAGACATCAACACTAAAATGTGAAAAGTATAATTTGGTAATGAAGTGAACAAACTTCTAAAAGTTACTTCTGAAAGTTGCAAAAGTGGTGGAAAATGTTTTGATATTAAAAGCATCAGTCACTGAAACTCCATTTCAGTGCAGGAAGACAATCAGCTGCTGAGTTTTGTGAGCGCATCGTTGGTGTCCAAACTGACACATTACAGCTGATTTAATATTTGCAATGGAGCAAATGATGCTTTAGTCATTAAAAACTGTAAATGAATCCACTCAGTTCTGTCAGTAGTCAGGAATCTGAGGCAGTTGGCACCACATTTGGTTGCATCTTGTTTCCAAAATCAGAGTGTGAACCAGTTTTCTCCAGCTGTCTCTGTGCAGAAACGACCCAAAAGTGGGACCACAATTCAGGAAAGTTTTCAGCCTCTCTTGCCCTCCTTTCTCTGAAGAATACTAATTTCCTTCCCCCTCCGCCCACTCTTTTCCTGTCTACCTCCATCCCTCCTCATCCTCCCCAGGCTCTGTGCGCAGAAACTCCACAGCGAACAGCAGAGGCAGCGGACTGAGCGCCAACCACCGGATAGCAGACAGGGACTACTTGGGCTGGATGGACTTCGGCCGCCGCAGCGCAGAGGAATACGAGTACTCCTCGTAAAAAAGCGGGGTCACGGCTCATACCCCCTTCGTACAGGCACATGAGAAAAAGAAGAAAAAAACCCATGCAAGCTGGCTCCTCACTGTCTCACAATAAGAGTCTATTTATGATGTATTTGTTGTACATTTGTTTGTAAAACTGTAATAATGCAATATACATATGCCAAATTTTGCAGAAAAGCTCTCACTGTCCAAGGTTTGTTTGTTTCTGGTTTTTTCTCTGGTTTTCTTTATCATTTTTTTGGTGGTAAGGACTGGGATGGTGTCAGGGTCTGTAGAGACTAACTGGACTGAATAAAGATTGAAAATATCACTCTCTGCATATGAATTATTAAAATATGATGCATGCTGCTTAAATTAGATTCATTAACATTCATTAGGTGCATTCATACAGTAAAGTGTGGATTATCCGTGGCACCTCATTTCTAGCACAAACACGCATTAGTGTGATGCATCATGATCCTTCATATAGCAGGGTAGAGATGACAGCACGAACAGGTACTAATACTCATTACACATGCTGCTTCTGTAAGTCATTTCGGTGAGCGTATGATGGCAAAGGCCTTCTGAATAAAGGAGGATATAAAATGATCCTTGAGCACTTCACTAAATCCTTAATTTGCTTCACATTTGTTCCCGATTTAATCAAGAGTTATATCTTATTATGTTCCAAAACAAGTGTCTTATAATTTTCTCTTGGATTGAAAAGATCCTTCCCATTTCATTTGTGACACAGTCTTTACGTACAATAAACTAAATGAAACTCATGCGTCATACGTCACATTTAACTCACCTCAGTTTTGGTTCGTATAAAATGTCTCGGAGAATGAGGGATTTATTTTTATCCTTTCGGACAGAATTCATTCATTAAACAACAAACAATTTTTAGAACTGGTGTTTGGTGTTATGAAGTGTTATTGTGGTACAAAACAACTATATATAACAAAGATTCTCAGCTTTTTTATCCTAAAGATTTGACACTTCTCTCCCTAAAATTTAAATTGCTTGATAACTAATCGCTTTAGGCAAGACAATGTCTAGTGTTGAAATGGAAGGAAATTGCTCTTTCTCCCCTTGATGTTTGGTATTTCTGAATATTTAGAAGCCACTTCTGGACTATCTCCCTCTGGAGAGTTGCAGTATATACTTAAAGTTGAAGACTGGCTAAAGATAGACAAACAAAAAGACTCAGTGTTGATGTTTCTGTTGAAGTATTGTTTGAAAAAGAAAAAATAATTATATATTGCAACGACAAATATGTGCTTTTCACTTCAGTCTGTCTGCAGATCCCTGAGTAAAGAGTCACCCATGGGAGCTGTCATTCACTTATTATCCTCTGCCAGGTGGATTTCTTTTATATTCAGTGTTACCTGTAATACATTAAATGTTTAATGATTTCAAACCAATGATTTTCAGAGAGAGAGATATTTTCAATTTTCAAAGGTCAGAGTCTTTACCTGATGCAAAACAGAGAGAGCAAACTCTTCCACATGAGAAAACATTTCTGGTCCACGGTGGATTTTTTAGAGTTTGATGAATGTAAAGGGAAAAATATCTGATGCTAAGAAAAAGGGTTAGCGTGCAGCTGCACAGAGGAGATGAAAGTCAGTGAATGCATCATTCAGGGAGCAGGCTGGAAAGTGTTGGAAAAAAATATTTTCTCCTCTCATCTGCGAGATCATTACGAGCTCTAAAGTTTGTCCTAAACACTGAACCAGTTTGAAGAAACTGATATCGACTGAATTATTAAAGAAGGCTCAAAATGATTCCTAATAATCGCTTTTGGCTCCGCCACAGAGACGATAACAGTCTCTAGAAAGCCCAGCATATTTTGGTGTTATGAAGAAATGTGTGTTATGAGAAAATTTGTGATTAAACTTTTTTTGGGCGAAGAGAGAAGAAGAGATTCAATGATATTGTATTGATGATATCGTTAGAGCTCGCTGGACAATTTCTATTCGAAAGCAGCGTCGCCGACCAAAGCCAGCCAGTTATGAGCGTGTGCTCAGATGAACCTGTAGGAGGTATCAGTGATGGAAAGAGGTGGAATCTGCAGTGGTGGTGAATTGTGATGAAGCAGCCCATTATGCTGCTCCCGGACCTGTGTGTTAAGTGAAAGATGTGTCTGTGTGAGTGAGAGGTGGAGACAGGAATCGATGAACAAAGCAGGTCTCAGTGAATTATTCAGAGAAGTGGTTTGGGATGCCCCCGGGGAAAGAAAGGGTTTGCTGTGTGTTTATATGTGTGTGTGTGTGTGTGTGTGAAGACCAGCACACCAGTCACCGGCTTGGACTTGAGATTCTGATAGGGTCACGGGAATTGATTCAAACTTTGTGTTTAAAGAGCCGAGGTCTAAAGACTTCAGAGTTAAAGGCACTGGGAAGGTTTAAAGGCTTCATTGGGGTCTGCTATATCCACTGTGTGTGTGTGTGTGACATCGAACCATTGTGTCGTGTGTGTGTGTGTGTGTGTGTGTGTGTGTGTGTGTGTGTGTGTGCGCGTGCATTGTGTGTGTAATGTGCAAGGAGCTGGCAATCATGCAAAAAAAGGTCAAAAGGCAAACACGTATGTAGCCTACACGGTCTAACATGGAGTGATTCGAGTACTCATACATGCATAAGTGCTCTTGTTGTGAGTCCTAATGGGCGAAGCCACACACTCATGAAAGGAACATGAGCTCCGAGAGCTCGGCTGTAATGAAGATCCAGCTACGGTGATGAGCAGATGGTCCGAGCTCTTCCTGAAACTGGCTGAACACACTGTCTTTCATTGACCGTCTTTTCTTTAACTGCAGATCAGCTTTAGTTGATTCAAAGGCATTTTTACTGGCATCTGAAACAGAAGAACTTCTGGTAAAGGCAAGGGAAGTCTGTCTTTGATGCTCTGGAGCCGACTCCACAAAGCCTTGTTCATCCAAGCCCACATAATGTAGATTCATCTCGCAGCCATGACCACAACACAACGGCAAACATTTTAAACAGTGATGTAGGAAAAATAACACATTTTAAAACGTATTAATAGACTTATTTGTTTTCTTGCTGAGAGTTAGATGATCAATTTGATGTGCTGCTAAATCTATAATATTATCAAATAACATCCAGTTTAATATCAACTTAAATGAAAACATCTGGAACATGACGTGTACTTAAACTGTTCTACAGGGCTGTGGAGGTGCATCAGTGGTTTACTGTCATGTCTGTGCTCAGAGGAGGAAGCAGTGTGGTCCCGAGGTCGGATTTCCTCTCACGTCTCAGGAGATGTTTGATGTGATGTTGTGATGAATAAGATTATCAAAATGTTATTCCAAGGGGACAAATGTCCAACATGGAAGACATCAGTGACGTTGGTTGGATTTCATTTCTTCTAATTAGACTCTCCGGCTGCCGGAGTGACATTTTTTGGTTATTGCTCACCTCTCGTTCACCCTGCGGCTAATAGAGGTTTAATAAGTAGCCCTCATCATATCCCTCATAGCACAAGAGCTACAGATGGTGAATGGGTAATGAATTATGACTGCACCAACATGGACAGGCTTGCACTTCGCATACTGACTATTTGCTCTGTTGAGTTATTTGTGAGCGCCATCTGCTGGAGGAGGGTAAATAATGATTTTCAGCCTGGGACTCTTCTTTTCATGATCGCCCCAGTTCTGAATGAGTCTCAGTTTCACGTCGAGGCACATGGAGCGGAAAATAACAAGATTAAATTTCCTGTTTGATGATTTTTTTTATTTGGAAAATCCCCTGATTACATGCTCAACCCCAATACTTACAGTGATGTGTGTGGTACACATAACAGTTCCTTTATAAGTGTGTCATTACTGACATTTCACTGACAATGGACAGTATATACAGTGTGTGAGACAACATAGTTTTTTTTTTTTTTTTATGAAAAATAGTTTAAATTCAGGAAAAAGATTTTCAAAATAAATAAACACGAGTGCAACAATGGTTGTGACAGCTACTTCACACCCTTAATCCAACGCATGAAGAACATAAATCATCAAAGACAGATGGTCGAGGCACTATATTGCTTCATTTCACCAAGGAAACCGTAAGGAAAAATGTCCGAAGAGCTTCCGACCACAACGGCTGATTAGCCACAATCACTTCCCTCATCCGTCTCTCCGTCCTCTTTCTGCATATTGATCTGTCCAGTTCACGGGAAGCACCATCAGCTTCCCTGTCTAATGGCCAATTAAGAAACTAAACCAAAGTATCTTTAATACTGACATAAAATCTATTCAATGATTTGTTGAAAGTGACTTGTCGGGCTCACACCTAATCACTTCAGGGGAGATTTAGTAAAGGGTAAGAGGGGAGAGAGTGAGAGTAGGGATGACATGTTTTCATGTATTTGGTGTAAATTTTAAATTATTTATAAAATGTGGATTTTAATCCAGTAATATTGAGGAAGAAAGGCATGGTTTAGTGCTACAGTAACTAGCCAACTAGTGCGATGGCACATTGTATGTCTGGTATGTGCGTGGGATTGTGTGGCTGTGATTCAGAAAAGGCAAGAGTGGGAGTACTACATCTAGCCAGCAGAGTCAGTCTCCGAAGCAGGGGGGTGTGAGTAGCTAGCAGTAGTTTTTTTGGATTTATCTCTTTTAAGCTATTCTGCCATTAATGGGTCAGTTCACCCAATTACATAAAATTTAATTACATAAAAATAGGTTTTATGTGCCCAAATTTTTAGATATCTGTGTCGAAACTAAGAAAGCTAACAAAGCGTTTTTAGCTGAATGCTAACATCGCCGTGCTAACATGCTCACAATAACCATGCAGATTGTTTGTTAGTTTAGTGGGTTAGCAGGCTAAGATTTGGCATTAACACTAAAACTAAAGTACAGCCGAGGCAGGTGGGAATGTTTTCAGACATCTGGGCAAAAACAAAAGTATTGGACAAATTAAAAATCAAAATCTGATGGCAAGCCATCAACATCTAAATGTCACCCTCATGGTGGCACTTCATCATCATCATCATCATCATCTGGGATTGAATGTCTCGACCAAATTTCTTGGAAAATCTAACAGATGTTGAGACATGTCAGTTTGGACCATTTCCTCCCCTGGAGACTTTAAAAGATATAGTTATGCTATTTCACTCTCTTTGTAGAAAGTTGAGCAGTCTCGTGTCTTTGTGTTAAAAGTGTGCTAACATATTAAATCCATACACAAACAGAAAAGTAAATTCCATCTTCATGATTGATCATCCCCTTTGTATCTATTGAGGAATCGCTGAGAATTTTCAGAGATATCTTAAAAATCTGAGCATATAAAATCAAAACTACCTGCATGGCTACGTACAAGTAGAGGCAAGTCAGAAAATGTGTTTTTTTTTTTCCTATTTTGGGTGAACCAACCCCTTTCAGTTACTTTGCTTTTGATTCAAGCATGAGTCGCCACCTAAAAGCACTATAAAGTTGACTGTGTCAGTGTGGAACCACAGTAGTGATTAGAAACTGGTCAGTAGTGCCACGTCGTTGTCGTACAGTATGAACAGTGTCAGTGTTTGGGCTCCAGGTGACTGATCAACAGTCAGTCCTTTACCCTGCCTGGCTCCTACGTGGTTACTCTGAAGGCCAGCAGCAGTCCAGACTACTCCTGGGGCCCCGGGGCTTTCATGGCCATGCTGGCCCCGACCATGGCAGGGTAACTCCGGTTCCTTCTTATTCCATCGGGCCCGAAAGGGGAGCCAGATCTGCGAAGCCCGCCCAGAGGACCCAGCATGGGGCCGGGACTCATTGCTCTTCCCCCTGAAGCTCCAGCTACACCCAGCCGCTTCACCTTGTCCAGCAGGTTGAGGTTGTGGACGGTCACGCTAACGTCTGTTTGGCTTTCGCAGTCCCTCCCTCTCTGCCTGCCCCTCATCCCCCCAGTCACCTCCTTCAGAATGGAACGGGCTGGTTTAGAGGCCAGGAAGTTGTCGTAAGAGGGACTCTTGAAGTCGAAACCTGCAGAGGTTAGCACAGCTGAAGCTCCCGGTCCTGTGGGCGAGTTGGGAGGGGTAGAGGGGCGCAGAGGGTCGGGGTTGGGCGCTCGGTTAGGGGTGATGGAGGTGCTGAATAAAACTCCTCCACTGCCCTGACCATGCTCCAGGCCCTGCCTCTGGTGATACATCGCTGCTGAGATCCCTCTCTCCTGGAGAAGGCGCACTAACCCCAGGGAGGTGCTGGTGGTACGTGTTGCATCTCTGTAGAAACATGACAGATTAAGTCAGCGTCATACCGTATGGTAACTAAGTGTATGGGAAAAAAGTAATGAAGTCAAAAGGTTGATCCTGGTCGTGCATCTGCTTTCTGTTGTTTCAAACCGTAGCACTTGAACAGATTAACTTTGTTAGGGTCGTATTTGGAGAAAACTAACTCTGATATACAGGTAATGGCTCTTCAAAACAAATCTGCTACCTTGCTAACTTTACATAACTTTACATATTAGCTCAAAATGCAGTCATTTCCTGGTATATCAGGAACCTTGCCTGAGGTTAGTTGAGGATTCGGAGGGCCTGAGACTGAGCCTTCGGGGTGTGCAGGGTGTTGCAGCAGGCGTACCCAGCAGAGTGCTGGTCATCACACAGGAGGCTGACGCTGGGACTGGGTTTAGACTGGAGAGAAAACAAATACGGAGAAAGAACGATGATAATTAGAAACATGCTTCTGGTATCTCTTAGTTATTTCAGCAGCTTAAATTGCACCTCTGTGATATTTCATCATTGTAATGGCACTAAGCTGACACTTGTTGTGTACAGGGGATGTTGTTGCTTTGAGCCAAAAGCACCTGCATGTATTATTTAGCACCTTCCTATTGTCTGGCAGACAACTGACTGAATGTTGTTGCTTGGACACGATCCCACCTCAGCGACTGCTGCTTGGATCTTATTTGTCCTGTGGGACTGAGCTGAATTCAGACTGAGTGCAGGTTTAGGACGCTGCAGGCTTCTCCGAGCGCCACCATATCTAAAGAAAATTATCACATTAAATCAAGTTTAAACTGAATTAATGTTCATGTTAATTTCTAGTGTTATTACAATGTATGAAATGGAATAAAAAATTAATTTCAATTGCTTTTGTTTGTTCAAGCCAGAGGAAAAGGTGCTTTGGGTATTGTTCTAATAAAAACACATAATTTCATTAGGACTTCTGTAATAAGGTTCATGTCTGAGGACAGCTGCTTTTAGCACAAAAGCAAAACTTTGCAGCAGCCGACTGAGAATGAATTTTGGCAGGAAACTCAAGAGGACGGGCCACAAAAAGTTGACTTTGATCATACATGTTCAAGCAGCACCGGAGGCTGTATTTCGCTCACCTCGGTGTGACCCGCGTCTGCTCATCAGTCGGGTGAAGAATCCGACAGGTTGTGAAGGTGTAGGTAGAGCTGGTGTGGGCCATGCATTTACCTGGGTAGTATGCAGCTGAGACGCAAACACAGACAACTTGTCGTTTTCAATCACCATTATACACTGCCTGTGTTTCAACAATACGACATTATTACACATACTGTATATGTGTGTTTGTATTGTATGTTCTCACCAATGGCGTCAGTGTTGCTGAGATGTGGCGACGGGGATGGAGAGGGAGGAGACAGTGGAGCGATGCTGGGCAGAGGCTGCCCGTGGCCGGCGTCGCTGGTGGCAGAGGTGGAGGGCACGGCCGGAGAGGCAGAGGCTGAGGACGTGGGCAGATTCTGGAAGTATTGCTCACCTGGTTCGTCCTCTTCAAAGCCCCCCCATGGATAAACCTGCAGACAGAGCAACATAGCACAGAGAGATGAATCCAGATCATTACAGCTGCGCGCATGTGCACGAATATTACTTCTATTACTAGTAGTAATATTAACAAGGGGTACTTTTCAACTAATTAGTCAAGACATACCATATACAACAAACAGTTGTTTGTTATTTATCACGTTCCTCTACATATCAGAGTAAGGTGAATTATCCCAAACCTATCCAAGTAGATTTCCTCAGTTGCTTTGGTCATTATGTATTTTATTCACGGTTATTATTTCCCACTGAACTAACTGAGGTGAGAAATGGCAGGAGAGTTAAAGAAATATAGACAGCTGAAGGAAAAGGAGCAATTCTGTATGTTCCTGCAGCCTGGTTTCATTAATCCTGTAAATAAGTAAGTATTCATTTTATGGAGTATGGAGTAATAAAAAAACCTTCTGTTTTCAGTAATCTATTAATGTGTTATGTGATAAACCCGACACAGCTGTACATTTAAAAAACAAAAAGAGATGCACTTGCATGAGCATGACCATATCATACACAGACACACACACACACAAACACACACACACACACCTGCTCCAGCTCTAGTTCAAGGGGTCTGTAACCCTTTGACACGACTCCTGGCCTGGCGTCCAGAATCACGCCGAGGTGAGGCTGAGCTAACTGCTGCCAGTGGTGCAGGGTCGCAGAGCCTGGAGGACAGAAGGGAATAAATCTGCGATGTACTTGACAGCTTTTACTATCTTCAAACAAACATTCAACACTCGAGTGGTGGTGTGGTTTCAGTTAATAAGAGAAAAAGCAGGTTATTCATCAACGATAAAAAAGATGTGAGATATCGGTGCAGCCAATACGGTTTAATACAAGCTTGAAGATCATGTAGCGAGAGCTCGACAAGTGACCGGTTAAATGCATTTAATGCTTATAACTACTTGTTAATGGCTGTCAAATAAGAATATCCATGAAACGCTAAAACATACAATAAGCCTCAGTGATCAGCACAAACAAAGAGAATATGACAGACACTCTGAAAGGTGATGAAGAGGAGAAGAATAACGTGAAAATGAAATGAAATAGAGGAGCAGTTAGAATGAGAAAAGGTTTTTATTAGTCGGCCACATGAATTTGAAACAGAGACGGCAAACAGTGACAGAATGAAGGAAGAAAAATCATACAAAAACAGAGGAAGTCATAAATAATAAAGAGACACATAAAGAAAGAATAATACATACAGTACATAAGAAATGAGAAAGTGTAAATACAGATAAAGAAGTACATATGAAGATGTTTGACAGCCTGTGCGCTTTTTAGATGAAGTAAGGACTTATCACCAGCAGAGGGCAGCACAGGCCGACAACACTGAATCACTCAGGGGAATAATAATAATAATAATAATAAAACACTGCTGTCTGAACTTTAACACACGCCACACTTCTGGCCACACCCCAGTCAGTGACGTCACACCTGATGCTCTCCATCATCGAGGTCACGCGTGTATCTACATTCACTGGAAAGCTATTATATGTAGAGTCGAGCAGGTTATGTTTTCACCTGTGTCTGTTGGTTCGTTTGTTTATTTGTCAACGGGATTATGCAAAAAAAAAAAGTAACTGAACCGATGTTTAATGGCGTGCGTGTATCTACAGCCACTCTCTGGGCTGCGTGTCTTTGTAGTAGCCGTGCGGAGACGCGAAGCTGCCTGACTTGTGATGGTGCATCAGAGACCAGAAAGAGTTGAAGAGCATGAGTGACAGAGGCTTCTCGTTCCTCTCTCTTGCTCCCTTCATCTTCCTGCTCCCGGCCCGGTCTCTGGCCCACCTCCTTCCTCTCTCCCTCTCTATCCCAGCTCCGGTCTTCCTCGCCCACCCCCATCCTTTCTCTCTTTCCCCCTCGAGTGTCCGGTCTCCCTCTCCGAACCCCAGCCTCGCTTGCTCCCTTTCTTTGTCCCGGCCCCTCTGTGCCGCTCGCCTTCCCACTTCCTCCCCGCCTTGCAGCTCATGCCGCGCTCCCGTTCTCCCTCACCTTCAAGTGGTTTGACGATCTGGAGTTTGTCAGGGAGGTAGGGCCCGCGTGTAGCCCACAGGTGGAGGTTCCCAAGGGACATGATGCTTTCTGAGGGGGTCATCACGCTCTCCTGGCCCAGAGCATCGAGGCCTCCGTGTCCTCCCCGCCTTCGCTCCCTCTCCTCTTCAAAGAAGCGCCTCTCGCTCAGGTTGTTTTGGCGACGCAGAGACAGGCGGCGCAGGGCCACCCTCAGGTCCTCGGCGCCGCTCGCCTTCTTGTCTTGGCCCTCTGTGCTGCTGTCAGGGCGGGAACAGAAACCAAGGGGTGAGATATATTTTTCATTTAATGAATCTTGAGAAGACGTCCAAATCCGTCCTCAATCTCCACTTCCTCTCTAATTTGTTAATGGCATTAGCCCTCTCTCCTCCTCACCTATCCTGATTAGACGCCGTCTCCATCAGGATGCTCTGGGTACGGTTGTCAAGGGCAACGCCGTCTCCGCTGATGTCACCTCCATACATACTGGAGCGGGGCGTGGAGAGGCCGCTGGACTGGGGCGACGTGCGAGCGGACAGAGACTGGTTGGAGCCCGGGATGTTGGCGCTGGTTGGAGTCAGTGAACGCTGACGGACCGTCTGGTTGACGTTCTTGACCGTCTCAAAAACACGCTTACGATGGATTCTGCAAACAATCACACACAAGGGTATTAGCCTGAAGTACAGTAGTTCACCAAACACATCTTGTTGTTTATTTTTCTGTTTTTTTCAGTGACAATTAAATTCAAAAATTACCATTGCAACTGAAATCATGACTCATATTGCAATCAGGATATCTCCAGCCCTAGTCTAAATTATGTCCGTGCTGTATTCTCAACATATTAATTAAGCTCTTAACCCGTACTTCTGTTCTTCACACTCGGGGTCGTCCAGACTCAACTCCTTCCTCATCGTCCCCTCGATCTCAGCTGCCAGAGAATCCTGCAACACAAAAACTCGTGAAGGAACGGAAGACACCCACATACACACACACACACACAGACACTCACACACACACACACACTCCCTCACCATCGGGTACAGCCCCATGGGGTGGTAGCGTCGAGGAGCTCCTGCAGTGTAGTTTCTGTTCCTCAAGTTCTTCAGCTCCTCCTGAGCTTCATGCAGCATCTCGATACACTCTGAGTACTTCTCCTCCAACTCCTGGAGCTGTTGCGGTGAAGATATTCAACTCAACTTTTGGAATTAACATCACAATAAAAGTATTGACAGTGAATACGTTACGATTCACTGGCAGCTTGGCAAACGGAGCATTGATGTGGAAGTTACCTCCGCTGTGAGCTGCCTTTGGGCATCTTTAGCTGCCATCAGGTGTTGAGAGAGCTCCTCATTCTCCACTGCATACTACACACACACACACACACACACACACACACACACACACACACACACACACACACACACATGTGCAGGTTTGAATAACGATGGTCACATTTGACTTAAATATAGGTTTGTGTGTCTGTACATGTATACTCACTGATTTGGCTTTCTTTTGCAGATCCACTATCTGAGAGAGGAGGTGTGTGATCTCCTCTTGCTGTCGCGAGGCGTCCTCGGTCTTACGAGCCAGTTCCTCCGCTATGGCAGAGATCTGGAGGCTGGACAACCCTGACAGGACAAAGGGAGGGAGAGTTTAGTTTAACCTCGGAGAGGGAAAGAGAGAAAACACCCGTCGGCGGAGCATCAAGTGAAGGCCGGGGGTGAGATGGACGAGCACACAAACACAAGAAAGCAGTTTCAAAACTTACTGAGTTCTTTCACACAGTCGTTGACAAGCTGCTGCTCCTTTTCTTCGTAGGTTTCGGTCTCTGACTTGAGGTGGTGCGCCTACATGCAGACACCCATGATTAAACAACGCATTCCCAGCAGCTTCTCTCTCTCTCTTACAATGCGCATGTAGAACTGCTGTTATTTGTGTGTGTTGATACCTCTGAGCGCAGCGACAGGTTCTCTTCTTCCAGCTCCTTGAGTTTCCTCTGGAGTGTGTCACTCACAAAGCCGCCTGAGGCCGATTCCACTTTACTCTTCTTACCCCTTTAGACAGCAGAACACAGAGCAGCGGGCGTGAAGGTCGAGAAGCTCTTTCATTACGTGTCGAGCATTTTTATTCAACGATTAAATCAACTTTTCACAGACAGACATTGAATTAACAAAGAAAGGGTGCTGACGTCGGGGAGCCGCTGGACTCATCCTCGCTCTCCTCGGCTGCGGTGGTGTAAAACTGCAGCAGCTCATCCTTCAGGTTCAGCTCATGGTGCAACTGGGCCACCTGGAGGAGGTCAGACGACGGTCATGACTCGTGTATGTGGAGCAAGTATCTGGTGTAGGATCTGCTGCAAAAACACCTGTCTTATGTGTGTGTGTGTGTGTGTGTGTGTGTGTGTGTGCATGTGTGTGTGTGAATGCAGACCTCCTCTGTGATTTGTCCCACTTGTATCTCCAGATAGTCATTCTGCTCAGTCAGAGTTCGGTTCTTCTTAAGGAGCGACTGGCCGATCCTTGCAGCCAACTCCAAATCTCTCTCTTTCTATTGGTCGGAACCAAGACAAGAGAAGAGAAGAGAAGAGAAGAGAAGAGAAGAGAAGAGAAGAGAAGAGAAGAGAAGAGAAGAGAAGACTTAGCTCACATTTATAGCTGCAATACCGAAAATCCCACAAAAAAAAAAAACAAAACTGGTAAAGTACAATTGTTCTTGCTGGCTTCCTGTGGGGGCATCTACCATTGCTGGTAGATTTCGAGCCAGAATTCACTCACTCTTTATTGATCTCTTTCTGCTGAACTTTCCACAACTATTCATACCACAGGCGTGTTTCATTTGGGCGAATCTACGGTGCAGCATCCGCTCCGCTGCAGCCTTATTTTGTAGTTTCAACTAATTAAAAATCTGTCCTTGTTACGGTTCTGAATTCCAGACAAAAATAGAGCATCTCACCTCCTCCAACAGACGTGTGACAGCATCGATGTCATTGTAGGTCTTCGTCATCTGGCCCACTCTGTCTGCACATAGCACTGTGGAAATATAAAGCACAAAACACAGTGAGAAGACGGTGGCGGATAACTCACAGATTCCAGTGCGAATGGCCCGCCGTCGAATCACTTCTGCTGTGATCCATGCACAGCGGCACACACACACACACACACACACACACACACACACACACACACACACACACAGAGTCGCATTACATAACACAGAGAGGTTAAAAAGTCGTCCTCTCGCAGGTGGTGGAGGGCCCGTGTTTATGGTGCAACACTTCCATCAGCACTGATTTCATGGTGGAGCAGGGCAGAGTTAAAGGGGAAAGGGCTTGTTTTCCATGGCGCACACCAGTTGGCCGTGTTGCCCTGAGGGGGGCAGCTGTTATTGACTCAGAGCTCTAGTCAATAACATGCTGTACAAAGTTATTGAATGCTTTATGATAAACCTTTGTAATCCTGTTTGTATTACAACCAGCACAAGATAGTTTCATTGTCGTTTCATTAACGCGCCGTTAAATTCCCCCCTTTGTTTTTAAAAAGACTGTTGAATCTATGATCCACGGTGGTTCACACAGATACAACAATGAACCATGGGAATGTGTGTGTGTGCATGTGTGTGTGCTTGAGGGCTGCTGTGTCAAAACAGAACAAATTCAAAGTCAACAAGCTTCAGGAAATTCCTCCTAATGAAGGAGGACAACAACAGAGACGAGCTCCACTGTAAAAGCCACTCCCTAGGAAAATTACAATCTCAATCTCAACACAGGTCAGTCTGGACTCTGATCCACTGTATACACAGTCAAATCAAAGTATAACACAATCACACTGATCACGTTTCTTTCTCTATTCTAGACATGCACTTTACCTTCCTTGTCCTCCTCATAGTACCAGTCATCCAGCTCACATTCATCCCTCGCCAATCTCTCCATCCTGCTCTCGCTGTCCATCTCTCCCACTGGCTTCACGATGACCAACAAGCAGACATGACAACCGATCTAAATACTGATCCATTCACTTTCTCTGTTGCTCACTCCTACTGCTCAGCCACTGTACAGCATAACAGGCCCAGAGCCCAAATTACCCTCCGCCCACATGGAGCGAGTGCGAGGGAGGCGGAGAGATGAGCGAGAGTGCACATCCGTTTTGGCAAAAAAAAAAAAAAAAAAAAGCTCTACAGCTGCTTGAGGTGAAACGGAAGTAGAAGTTGTGTCGTGATTGGACGGCAGAGCCTGCAAGATGGAAGAAAGAGCCAATCAGAGATCATCGGGATATGGCGAGGACTCCTCTCTAAGTGCTGACAGAACTCCCACATCTCTCTCCTCTTCATCTCTCCTCTGCTCCGTGCAAGGCCACCGAACATGTATCTGCCTCCAGCCGCTGTTACCATGGTGACCCTCATCCACAAACAGACCCCTGACACATGCACAGCCACACGTGCTCACTCTTTACCACCACAGGATGTGCCTTATCTTTCTGACTTTCTTTTTCGTCTCAGTAAACAGCAACACAACACAATGGACCAGGAACCATTGTTCTGACTTCTTTAATACAACTCCTTCCTCAACAGCTTCCTTACGACACAAAGCTCAGACAAATCTGTAAAAATGACTGATCGCTTTACTCGCCAACAAAAGTATGTTTTACATTAAAGCATGAATGTTTTTTATTAATTATAACTTATTTTAACGTAAATGATAATGGAGAAGAATCTTACATCTCACAGAGCGGGAAAATTATAGTGTCCGCTATGTCTGTCAAAGAATGAAAAGACTCATTTGCCATGTCAGCTTTAAGAGCAACACAAATATTAGAAAATGGGTAAGAAATGAGAAAAATGAGGGTTTTTCTAGGTGAAACCAGGCTAACGTGAGGCAGGAGATAAATTGTTTCCGTAAACACTAAAGAAACAGCATGTGTGAAATAAGAAACCCTCAAATGAAACCAGCTCATTACAGTTCAGAGGATATACAGTAAAACCATGACGTTTACTGAAGGAGACAGTGTAACCCGTAACCCTAACACAGAAAACCTCCATAACTCTCTGAACCTACCTAAAGTCACAGAGGAATAAGGAGTAAATTGAAGTCCAGCTTTTACATCTGAATGGTTCAAAAACACCCAGAGAACAGATACTGCAAAGACTGTAAGCAGCTTGTAGCTCGGCACCACCTTGTGGAGGGAGGCTGTAATGTCAGTCACATCAACACGGGGAAAGGACAAACAGGATAATAGATAATAGTGTCAAGAAACACAGACACATGAGAAAAAAAAAAACCCTAATTGAATCTTATTCAGACAGGATTTATCTGCATCAGACAGATATCAGGTTTTATATGTGGCAGATTAAAACAACACCTGTCTTCATGAGCTAATGGTTTTTTGTTTTGTTTGCAACCTATCAATCATGTAAGCATTGCGAGCACTTTCTAATAAACCAACAGCGAGAGTCAATATTAATTGCATCCTTCTCATAACTGTTTACAGAGGAAAGCAGACAACATCTTTTCTCTGAGCCAGTGCATTAAGGCAGAGAGGAAACACAGGAGAAGATTCACGGGCAATGTTTTGATCTTCCTGGGAAATATTCCACAAGGTTCAGACTTCTACCTAAAGATATTACCAGAGTATCTGACATTAACTTCATTCCCCCAGAGCCCCCGAATCAACACCTTTAACATGTAAAGGGAGGATCTCATACCATCGCTCAACAAATGTTTATTGTACATTTATAAACACCTTATAGAATTAAACATAATCATTTCTTGCAGAAAACACAAGAATTCAATGTATATAAATATGTAGGTCGGGTATTAACAGACCTAACAGAGGTTGTTTGAGGATAGGAGGAAAGAAAAACTCTTCCGGAAAGAAGAACATGTTGTTTACTATTTATACATGTTACTAAATAATGAAACTGTTGTAATATTAAACCCCCCTTTTCCCTCAGTGTACTGAGACTACACCCTTAACTTTCTTGTCTTTAATACATGAATGTAGAAAAGATTAGCAACATTTTTATATTCTGTATGTAAATTATGTCAAATTTATCTTTCCAGTTGTTGATGTCTTTTCTTTTTTCTTTTTTACCTTTCGTTTCACACATACTGTAGATTATCTTTCCAAGAGCCATCTGAAGGATTAAACAGCATGTGTCCAGGTGGGTAAATCCTTCACTTTCAAAGCCATGATTTCCCACAGAAGCCCAAGAGATAAAGTTTAAAGTTTAATCTTTATCTTGGCTTTTTCTTTACCGCGTTTCCACTGTCTGAATTTGAAATGAGACTAAAAACGTATAGAGCTTCTGCAGCACTGGAGACAGATATACACTGTATGCAATCACGCTGTTGCCAAACTTACGGAAGTATTTGAGTGTCTCTTCGATCTGCTCGGTGGTCAGGTCGAGCCTGGCGTCCGGTGCGACGAGGGGAGTGTGGAGCCAGTCATCGTGGTCGTAGCCGTAGACGGTGTCAGCCCGCAACCGGTACACCGGCAACTGCTCCTCCAGGAGACTGATGATCTCAAACTCCGGCAAGTCAGTACTGTTGCACACATCTGAAGGTGACAGGGAGGAGAGTGAAGGGACGGCAGCCTGGTGGTAAAGGAGGGAACTGATGCTGTGAGTGTTTGGGAGAAACATTGGAGACTAGTACTTATACTGTTACTGCTTATACTGATCAATACTACATAGACGCTCCGTATTTGACCACTTCACTTACTGTGAGTTGACGTTAGTAGATGGGTTTCTATTTGGACCAGTACTGTTCTGCATCATATGACTGATGACAGGTACAAAGCCTGTGATAGATTTGTACAGCGGTGAATGAAAGTACAAACTACCCACCAGCAGATAAAGTAGTTAGCATCACCTCCGGCAGCGACAACATTAAAATGCTCTTTACACATTAATGTGTTAGTATTAAAACACCCACAGAGGGTGTTTCTCTGCAGAACAAGTGCCTTTACTTTTTACATTTAGTTGCTAATACTCATGTACTTTTACTTAAGTAAAGGGTGTATATACATACACATATAACATGATGCCAGTTGAGACAGTGGATCCTTGTAGCATCATTACTTTGCCATATAGATAAAAGTGCTAAAAATGACAAAAAATAAATGTATTTCTACTAAAGTAAAACTAGTGACATATATAATATATCTGTAATATATATTACCTGCTAGAAAGAACAGCTCTACACACTATATTTAAAAAAAATATGTTACATATTCCAAACAATGAGCTGCATTTGGACATTTTTATGTCTGAGCTCTGTTGAAAATGTAACATTTCTATTTCTACTGTGTTTGTGGTTTATAAACCCTTTTAAAACCCACTGGATTCTCCATGACACAAACTGAAATCAGAGCGTTCTCTCACAGTAATTCCTAAAACACTGACCGACACACACAAACCTGTGATGGTCTCGGCGTCCCTGCAGTCGGGCGGCGCCGGTTGTGTGTCAAGCTGGCTGGACTCGCCCTCGCTCACATACTGCTCCTCGTGGGTGTGCTGCTGCTCGGACTCAGGGTCCGGGTCCGGGTCCGGGTCCAGGTCTGGGGCCGGGGGCAGGGAGGGGGCCGGGGAGGCCAGCTTGGCTCACCTCTCACTGTTGGAGAGAATCAGGGGCCATGGACCTCTGGAGCTGGAGCTCCACTGGGTCAGCAGGTCCAAATGATCGACAGGAGACAGCAGGTACAGACACCTGGAGAGGAGAGGAGAAAGGAGATGAGTAAGGAAGGATGGAGTAAAGGAGAGAACCAAACACACTTGTGTTGCTGTAACCCCAAAGTCCACAATAATCAATGCGTCTCTTTCTTTCCCTACAGAGTCTTTAACTTCAAGTGCTGCTGCTGACTCTGCAGTGAGCTGCCTGCCAGCAAGCTGCATAAATCACAGCCTGTCCACTGCAGACACCACTTTTCATCTGTCAGGAAATGAATAAAAATGCAGGTGGGGGTTAAGAGCAACTCTTGATAGTAACATGATATAATGAGACTGTGTAACTTAATGGATCCAGATACGGGAAATGATTTTTTTTTCTTGTTCTGAAGACATGGGAGATCAGATGGCAGGTAGCTCTCGGGCAGCGAGGGGCCTTTTCAGAAGCTGGGATTTTTAACCACTTGCCAACTCTGCGACCCACATCTCCTGAAACTCCCAGTCTCCCAAGAAAAACCTTCCTCACAGTCCCAGACTACTGCAGGAGCATTGTAAGAGTGAAGTTCGATCCTGGGTCTCCTGTCTGAAGTCATAGCGACCTTGCATCGCCCTGTCTTTAATCCACGGGGATCTGTGTCTCACTGCAGATGCACAGCAAGCTGCAGTGAGAAAACAAACCACAGATCTGGATCAGGAAATTCACCTCTGGTCACATCAAACAGTGAGCGACGGGCAACAGAATATAAATCACGGCAGAAAAAAAAAGGATACGCGGGGTGCATATGCATGAGTGTTTGTGTGTCATCTGTGGCCAGTTGCAGGAATAGGTGGTAGCTTGAGAAAACAGAGAAACATCTGGTGATGGTTGAGCGCATCTGACACAGATTTTTTTCTATAACCGACAAGCACACGCATGAGCACACCAACAGATAAAGGTGAACATATAATTTCTTTGCACACTGGTCTGCTCTCTGTATAGCAGCATTACAACCTTGGGATGTCTTTCTCATTGCAGCAGCTTGAACGCTGTACTCACACTCTCTGTTGGATCGGTGTTTAGAAGGAAAAAAAGAATTCAAGAATTACATAAACTCTGGATGACAGATGATTTCAGATTCAGGGATTGGGATTAGAAGTCGTGCATCGTAACACTCCCAAATCACTGTCCCCTTTCCAACTTAACCAGACATGTCAACTTGCAAAAACTCAGGTCTGCAGAAATGGCCCAAATGGATGAGCTCTTGATACAATATTTCTATCTCCATAATTTGACCAATGTGGTCAAAATATCTTCTTTTGTTTGTCATTAAAACTGGGACTCTAACACTGAGGAGAGAGAAAGCTCAAATGAGAGCAGTTGTTCTATAATTAATTTAAAGTCAGAGAGGTAGGAGTGAAATGAAATGTCTCAGACAGCACTGGTGCAAGGCCCAGCAGCTGATGCCCTACAGTGAAAGATATTACTGCTGCCCTGCAGCTGCTAAAGGCTGCTGCTGCTGCTGCTGCTGGCAGTACCCCCAATAAGTAGGCCAGGGTTCATTCATGCATGTGGCACAAACAATGTCATTTGAGTTCTGACTGAGGGTGTGGCTTCATCTACATCAGCAGGTCGCGTCACGGATGCGGGACCTGGGTTTTTTTTTCATAAACCGTGTCCTCACAGTAGTGCCACAATGATTTACGAAAAAAAAAAAAAACATGATCAGCTGACCTCATGATGCATGACATCGCCATTGAAATCATGTATTCGCTCAAACGTTGAAAGCAGCCCCGGTTCAGAGATCTACTCACACACAGAAGTGGCTGATCCAAACTGTTCAAAAAAAAATCCAACAGGGACTCCGGCGGTGCAGCGACCCAGCAGGGAGGAAATCGGCAGATATGGCTGGATGTCCCCTCGGATGAGCAGGTAGAGGCGGTCTCTGTCAGAGATTTACGATATGTGTATGTGTGTGTATGTGTGTGTATGTGTGCGTGCAGGCCGGGCAGAGCGCTGAGATATTTCTGCGGTCGGGTCCCTCCTCACAGCGATGACATCTCTGGATGATCAAGGTCACTTTAGGCTGGTTTCCAAAGTCGCTCCTGACCCGGTCCACTCCTCCTTCCCTTCAGCCATCTCCCCCTGTCTCTCTCCTCTTGTCTCGCACTCTCTCTGGAGCCTCCCTCACCACTGTGAAGCCAGACAACAGGAGAATAATAGGACTTCTAGTTAACGCCTTCAAAATAAAATCCCTCTTTACTATTATGCTGAAACAAAAGAAGTAATGTGGGGATTTTTCTGTTGGGGGCTGCACAAAATTTAAATTGAACAATTTAAAAATCAACCAATCAATCAATCAATCAATCAATCAATCAATCAATCAATCAATCAATCAATCAATCAAATTCTTTTTTAAAGCATGTATTCATAGGTAAACTGAAAATCTGATGGGAAAATAGGATTGTGTGGAAAGATAGTCATATCAAGCAACAGAAACTGTGTAAAAAATAGTCTACACGTGAATTCATGTTGTCATCTGTTTCTTCTTCTATGTATTAACGTGGTTATTTGCATACCTTAATATTTCATTGATTTTTAAAAAAAAAAATGTTATTTCATTATTTTTGTGGTTTTAATTTGAAGGCAGTACTGTATTTCTCAGTGTATCCGGGTTTACTCTGACTGACTTGACAGTTTTTCTCCCTGCTGTCATCCAGACACTCAAACCAGGACCCACCCGTACTGGACCTAGCATCGCTGACGTCACGCGCACCCACAACAGGAAGGGAACAGGCTAAAAGGCTCGAGGCACACGATTTACATTTCCGTTTATAACATATACATAAAAGAAGGAAGGAGGGAACTTGCTATCAAGTCGTCCCACATAAATTGCATATAATTTGAATATTTTAATTGAACTTTTTTGGGCCACACATTACTTTTTGTTTTACTCTCTACATTATGGACAAACACCATTACCATTACCAACAACATTATTATTATTATTATCATTATTTTTACTTTTTGACTGCATGAGCATTTTCCCTTTATGTTAAAGTGATAAAAACATGAATGTATATAATAGGACATGAGAGAATATAATGATGCATATTTGTTTTTATATATTAATAAACATTTTGCAGCAACTGAGTACAAGGTTCATTATTATGCCTACAATGAAAAACAGGCATTAATCTGATTGAACACTGGCCAAACGGGACTCAGATTCCCGTGAACCTGCAGTGATTCGCTCCCTCTTGACCAGCTGGACTAAACAGAGAGGAGCCATTGTTCTGCTGAGAAGAACTAGACATAACTGAGTCCCCACCCACCCAACAATGCTGTCACTGGCTACATTCATTTTTGCAAAGTGAAATGCAAAGTCTTTGTTGTATTTTCCTCTCTGTGGTCTATCTGTTTATGCCAAACAAAGTCAGCCCTGGGCTCCATGCCACCTAACACCTCTATGCCAGTGTTGTGGTACTTGAGTGAGTTTCAGGACTTGACTTGGACTTGAGCATCAACTGCATTCAGACTCTTTTTCTTTTTTTGTTAGTAGTGCACTTGTTTGGCTATTGTGCCACACACAGTAAATAATCTCCCTTTGAAATGGGGACAGCTGTGTCATCTTTTTTATTTGTACGTCAGCTCTTTGACTGTGCCAGAGTAGAGCACCGGAGCCCATCTTGGAACTCAGACTCAATTTTGATGACTTGGACTTGGACTTGAGATTTAGTAACTCAACTAAAGCATACAGCATTTTAATAACAGTGTCGTTAGTGTTTTTATTGTATGACTTGTATTCATCAGTTACATTGTACAAAGCCTGTTCATTGTATTTAGTCATTGCACAGTGACTTTTATGCACATGCGCTCATCCATCACTTAACATGGTTACTACAGAAGTAGAAATAGTCCTAGATCACAACAGTTATTATATTTATTTCCACAAGCAGTTGCTTGAGAGGTAAACAGATGTAGAGTTTGGCAAGGGAAACAGAGAACAAGAAGAAATCAGGAAAGAGCTCAGCAACAGATATTATGGTGCCCTGCCAGAAAATTGCATTTCAGCACAGTCCAATACATATTTCTTGAAAACAGGTCCAAAGCCTATGATAAAGATAACCTGCAAAGATGAAGGAAGACGCTTGTTGGGGAGCACCTGAAGGCAACTCCTCATCCAGTGCCCTGAGTGACTGTCAAACAAATAATCTTTTGATAGTACAAGAGAACCACATGCGTTGTGTTGAGCAGCAAACAGACCGAGTCCCTTGTTAAACCTGTAATTCAATGTTCCAACAGCAGATGGCAGCAGAGGGCCTTTGTGGACAATAGACACTGTTATTGCTGCAGGTTTATGGAGGTGTTTGTGTTGTACATAGCCTCCTACAGATAAACACTGGGTTCCCGCCACTCTGCATGATACATGGCAGCATGTGTGAGTGATGCTTAAACGATTTCCTTAAAGAAAAACATTGAATGCAGTCACCTATAGGATAACAGCGCGGCAGTGTTGTGGTGTGATTCTCGCGCTGGAGCGTGTTTTATGGGATTTTGTGATGGTGCTGTGACCCTGCCCTGTATGTAACGGATAGGCTACATCACACCATACGCACTCCCAGCTGCCATTAACATGTTTGGGTTTCTCTAGATTTCCACAGAGTGGAAACATCCAGAGCCTCACATCAACCTCTGGCTGCACAGTTGTTGGACGCACGAATTTGTTTTTTTCCCCCACTTTTCTTCACTATTTTAAGGGATGGAGGCAACGAGGACAATTTTGCATTTAGTTTTCCATGCATCAAGCTGATACATTTTACTTTTCTGGTTTCCACATTATTATCATGCAGATGAGCTGATGATGTTTTTGTTTTCATCGACCTGTGTGAACCCACATTTGGAGAGAATAGATGCTGCTGCTGCTGCTGCTGTTGCTGCTGCTGGAAGGAAGGAGATGTTTTCTTCGGGTCAGTTCAGGTTTGTTAAAGATGGGTCATGTTGGCAGAATGCAGCTGGAGTGACCGTGGTTGCACATGGGAATTGATTTATCTTGTTTACCTCCTGAACGACACACAGCTCCCCACCGCCTCTCTGCTTTATTGTCAGCCTTCCGCCTCCTTTTCCCACTGGCTGATCCACTAGAAGACCCCAATCTCCAAATTGGCCTAGATTCCCCAAAATGAATTTCGACCAGATCCTCTCTGCCATCGGAGGCTTCGGGAAATATCAGAAAATTTTGTACATATGGATTTGTTTACCCCAGATCCTCCTCGCCTTCCACATGATGGTGAGCATCTTTACCGGAGCCACGCCACCGCATCACTGCCGAGACAACTCGAGCTCAGTAGCCGGGAATAAGTCCTTCTCCCCGGGCACACTCAGCCTGAACTTCAGCCTCTCGGATTCCCCCTGCTTCTCTCCCGATGTCATGCTGCAGGGAAACCGGACTGAGCGCGTCCCATGTGGCCATGGATGGGTGTACAGTCAGGAGACCTTCCAGAGCACTACAGTCACCGAGGTAAATTAGGATGATTAATACTGTGTTTAATCAGGGGTGAAAAGCAGCGTGAGTCATTCACAAAGTCACACTCCTGCATGGAAACAGGTAATGGTTCCACTCCACAAAACTAATTTGGAGATTTTCTTATAATAAAACCAATGCAGAAAAAATAAATTAAGGGATCTAACAGCAGCAAAACATCTGAAAGTATTCTAAGGCAACCATAATCTTTAAGATTGAACATTGTTAACCATACATGACATAGGGAATGTACAAAGGCTCTTTATTATGTTGATGTGATAGTGGATAAATAGCGAGGGGGCCATGGAGCTAGAATGAGCTTCCTGGCCCCCATCAATGTCCCACTCCTCCCTTGTCTATGTGGTATCTGTTAATAATTTATGGTGGTACATTATATGTTTTACAAGTTACACTAAGAAGCCTGTGTTAGGGACGGACCAATAGGAAACAGGTTTGGTTTACGGTGCATTATGGGAAGGCTGTAAGGTCAACGGCCAACGTATGGCGGTCGTAGAAGAGTTCAAGTTAATAAAAGAAGGAACACGTGAAGTCACCCTGAGTCTCGTGAGCTTATGTTTAGTAAAAACAAGACATGGTGTCGGAAATTCAGTAAGCCCACGTCGGGACGATACGTCTGCCGGGAGGAAGAAGAAGGAGTTTGGTGAACGCGCTAGACCAGTGAGAGCTAAGTCGAGCGGAGCGGGGAAGAAGCTAGCATGGTGGCTAACACGCGCAACGCTACGTTTAGCATTCAGGCCCCGGCCCCCTTTGATTTTTCCCAAGCTGCACGAGCGGACAAAATGGATACGGAGATTCGAGGGATTCCTGCCAAGCGAGCAACTTAAATTCAAGCTCGGAGGAGAATCGGGCGAATGCATTAATCTACTATATGGAAGAACGAAGCAGATTTCCTGAAGAGGCTTAAAGCTCAGAGATGCAGACCAGCGCCAATACACTAAAGTGAGGGACGACTTTTGGTCATTCTTCATGGTGAAAAAGAATTTTTTTTTCATGTTTATGAACGAGCAGGGATTAATATGCGCAAACAAGAAGCGACATAGACTGTTGACGCAGCAAAAAGAAAAGCTTAAATTCAACAAGTACAAAAGCAATGGAGGTAAAGACACCAAGCTGTTAGAGCAAGAATCCTAAAAGCTCTCAGTGCTTCAAATGTGGTGGCAGGCCTCACCCTAAACATGAATGCCCTGCTAAGGATGCTAAGTGTGGATCCTGTGGGGGGGGGGGGGTCCACTCCC